AGGAAAAAAAAATTAAATATCCTTTGCTAAGGACAACTAGAAAAATCCACCTTGACCGGTCAAGAAACCGATCATGTTGTGAAATTCCATCTTCCCAATTCAATCATGTATGTTCTTCTAAAAAAAAAAACTTGTATTAATGCACGTGATCGATTAAGAAAGGAAGACGACACGAAACGCGTCCCCGTCAGCGACGTTGCTCCTTCGGCAGGCATTGGATGATTTCAGAACATCTTCCACTTCAAATTAGGAGCATTAGAAGCAATAATTTTTTTAATCAAAGAGGAACCGTTCAATAATTTTTTTTAAATACATTTATATTTTTAATATATATATTTGGAGCTGCTATAGTAATTTACTTCATTTAGGAGATTCATGTTGGGCAATATAGAGACTCGGTCCACCGCAATTTAATTAGCTTCCTAATTAAGAATCTCACCTACCGCTCACCTACCTTTCCATCTACCGCTAACCTACCACATCCCACCTACCACTCACCTACCTCCCGCCTACAGTTCTCCTGATTTTTATAAATAGTCTCTTATGGCTTGTCATAAGCCAAGCAAGGGCAGAGCCAAACCCTCTAAGAGAGAAAGAGAGGAAGAGAGAGAGAGTAAGAGAAATAAGAAAATATAGATTTTATTGTAAACGTCGGGGCACTTGACAGGGTAATTTCTGGAAGAAATAAAATCCTTTACAACTCCATAGACGGAGGCAAATTTGCCGAATCACGTAAATCTGTGTGTCGCTCTTGTGTTTTTCTGCATGCAATTTTTCTCATTTCATTTTTCACTTTATTGTCATCATTTTTTCGCAATAATTCAAGTTCAAAGTATCTTATCTTCAATAATATAAAATAAAATATATATATATACATATAAAAACATAGCTTCGCGGCTTAAACTCTAGCCTTGTAGAAAGCCTGGCAACTTTGGCGTGTTGCATTGCCTCTTCGCAAGAAGCTTAGAAAGAGACATTAATTTTGGAGCGATCTAAACATATCAAACATTCCATGCAGGCTGGTCATTCGCAAGGGTAAAACCAAGGAAAAAAATCAACTTTCTATTTCCTTTTAGAATGGTCTTCTTAGGACAACAATAATTTTTTATAAATGTTTTTATTTTTTAATATTGGAAAAACTAATTAGTAAAGGCAGCAAAATTACTTGTGTTAAATTTTAGTTTCATTAATTGCTTATTTAAGGCGCTTCATAATTCGCTCTTGGATGAAAATAATGAACAAGCAAATTGATAACTATTATGTTGGCAGATCATTTAGACTTCCACAATTCAATGTCCTAAAAATACTTGTTGCTTATGCGTCGGTTGTGAAAAGCTTCATGAATTATTGTATTATTAATATTGCTTCAGTTTGTTTTGAACAAAAGCCTAGATATTTGAAACTTTCATGATTTTTTTTCTTTTTTGGGTTAAAAACTTATAAGATATGCTACTTACATTCTAATTTATTTTTGCTATAATATATTGAAATGAGTTAAAATGCAGTGGATGTTCCTAAGTGGTAGCAAGTGGTGACTGAGAGGGGTGGGTGGTGGTAGCAAGTAGTGGCTATTGTGGGGTTGAGAATAGCGATTACAGCTGCAGATAGTTGCAAAGTAAGCAAATAGGGACAAACAAGAATTGCAAGAATTGAGCAGATTGGATAAGCATTCCACTTAGCTTTTTTAATAAATGATACAAACAAGAATTACAAGAATTGAGTAGATTGGGTAAGCATTTCACTTAGCTTTTTTAATAAATGATACAACTCATTCATCATAATATGTCTAGTAAAAGTGTTCATATCAAACATAATTTTTTACACTAAACAGCTTATAATAAAATAAAAAAAATAACATTTATCTCAACAAAATTTTTCACTAATTTTGTAACCAAGATAATGTGATTTAATGAAGCAAATTCAATATATACAGTAATGCATGATTCAAATCATGTTTAACCTTTAGACAAGTCTAACTAAGCTTGATCAAGTTAATCCAATATGACTAAAATCATATGACTCCGATCATGTTGACATGATAACTTAGTAGAGTAGGGTCGAACTATATTAATTCAATGAGGTCACTGAGAGGATAGTTTGATTCAATTTTGAATGACATTTTACAGTGCTCACTTAACTATTCAACCTCTACACACACACACACACACACACACACAAACACTAATTTTACTTTTGATCATGGCCAAAAGTTTTGGTTTGCAAGAAATTTACCCTACAAAAAAAAATTAAAATAAAATTTTCCAAAATCATTGTGGCCCCAACATGCCATGAAATTATAAGCTATTTAGGCTTTGGATTGCTTTTAGGAAGGTGGATATTACATCTCAAATATGAAAAAAATTTATTGCCCTTTTTATTATTCCTAAACATAATAGCTAAACCTTCTCAAATGTTAGATTATTCTCTAGAAGAAAAATATATAAATAAAAAATTATGTCTGATCATCAATTTTTAGTGATGATAGAATACAACCTACTCACAAATTTTTACTGTGAATGATCTAATCAATGAATTTTTTATTTCTGACTGTATCTCTTATGTCATTCAGATGTTCAAGATGTTGATCTTCTTTCATCAATTTAAGACTCGATCAACAACTAATCTTAGTGAATTATACCATCATCATGATCAACCATTGGTTGGTTGGTTGACCTAACCATTGTCTGAGCAAGTTGATAATGAAAGATTTTGTTAGACAATCACCCAGTTACTTTGAGATTCGGAAGTTTAAAGGCATGACTAATAGACATCTTGTTGATATGAACAAGAAATAATCAACAATAATTTTAGGTATCTCTTATTAACTGTTATCACTACTCAAAGAGATTATTTGACACTCAAATTTTGAAGGGAATTATTTTAAGTTCTTTTCCTCAACATAGTGATAACAGATCGAGTGTGATCAGTGGCTAACAAAGTAAGGTTCAAAGTGGAGAAGTTCAATGGGTTGAACTTTACATTCTGAAAGATGCAAGTGGAGAATTTGTTGTATCAAAAAAATCTATACTTTCCACTACAGGGTATTAAAAGGAAGTATGATTCTATTCCTATGGAGGAATGAGATGTGTTGGATCGAAGGGCACAAGGTTTGATCCTATTGTCACTTTCCTCATACATTGTGTTCAACATTGTAAATGACAAAAAAACGATGGATCTCATGTCAAAACTGACCAAGATGTATGGAAAGCCTTCTGCTTCAAGTAAGATTTTTCTGATGAATAAGCTATTCAACATGAAGATGGTGGAAGATAGCTCAGCAGTAGAATATCTAAATAATTTCAATACTTTGACAAGTCAGTTTGTTCTATGGGGATCAAATTTGATGATGAGGTTAGATCACTGGTGATACTATCTTCATTGTCAGACAACTGGATGATTTGGTAACAGTGGCGAGCAATTATTCAGAAAACTCAAAGTTGAACTTCAATGACATTGTGGTTATGATAATAAATAAAAAAGTTTGTAGAAAAGCAATGAATGATGAATTTTTAAGTTTTGTGTTGAATGCTAATAACAGAGAAATGAATTAGGACAGGAATATAGGCAGAGGAGGATCCAAGTCCAAGAAAGGAAAGCCCAATTCAAGCAGAGGAGAATGTTGCAACTAAGGTATGAAAGGATATTTCAAGTACGACTACAAAGCACCAAGAAAAACTAGTGGTGGATGACAAAAAATGAATCTCTCGACAAATATATCCACCAGTAAAATCCAAAATGACTCCCTTATATTATCCCTAATCAACACTGAATCTTGGATAGTAGATTCAGGTGTCTTTTTGCATGCGCGCCCTAATAAAGCGGTGTATAAAAACTACACTCAGAGTGATCTAAGAAAATTTTATTTGAATGATAATAAGGTTTGTAGTATCATAGAAAAAGGTTATTTTGATATCAGGTTGACAAATGAAATAGTATGTAAGCTTACTAAAGTTCGACATATTCCAAATTTGAAGAGAAATCTCATCTCTATGAGCTAATCCGCAAAGTTAAGACTCGTGACTACTTTCATAGGTGATTCATGAAAGGTGACCAGAGAGTACTAGTGATGGCTCTAGACAATAGTGAAGGCACCCTTTATATAATTAATGAAATAATAGATTTCATTGATCAATGTGGCTAGAACCAAGGTGGATGCATGTTTGTGGCACTGTAAGCTTGGCCATAAGAGCGAGAAAGTTATGAAATCCCTTCACGCCAGGGCTTTTCATTTGAGTAATTAAACTACTCAGTGGGGTTCTCATCAACAAAGTTATTCAAGGAAATCAACTTTTGTTAGGTTATTCTACTTATTTCTCTGGTTGTCGAACATCACTCAACCAAACTCATTTGCTTCACGACTAGCTTGCAATACTAAATTTTTTTCATAAATTTTATATACGATGCAACCATTGTTGCACATGAATCTTTGGCAATACATATGAATAAGGGGCAAATGATTGACATTAGCATATTGTTGCAAAAACTCCATTCAATCTAAATTGTAGACCCTCCCTCCCTCCCTTTTTATGCTCTAAAAAGTCAAAAAAACCCTCTATAAATCCTGATCATTTTTACATAATAGCTAAACCTAATTTCTCATTGTTAGTTCATAATTTAGATTATGGTTCGATTTACTTCATGAACAATCTTAGAACAAATTGTAACTTTTGTTATTGCAAAGATTTTAATTGGCCTTAGTAAATTTCACTATTTATCTACAATATTCTAATCATTTATTAAGGTTATTATATCTTCTAGATTATTCAAAGTATATTTATAAAAGCTTAGAAATACATTAAATACTAATGTCTAATGTGTATTCGGCCACAGTTCTATTCACTATATAAAAATATCATGCACAGTGGGACCCAACCAACCATCCCAAGGAAACTTCCCACCAAATACAAATCTTAGCATAAAGCCACTCATCCCCTCATGTATAAATCCAATCAAATTCACCACCACAAGTATTCAAACTTTGTCCCTCTTACCATCTTCCCTATGGCAGCTCTCTTAGAGTTCACTGACCAAACCACCAACCTCTCCTCCTTCCACTTCCCTGAATTCTACTCGGACGGACAGCAGGAGCTCAACGTCTACGACTATGCCGGAGCCGATGAAGCCCATCTCTTCGACGAATCGTGCCTCACGTTTGCCGGTGATCCGGAGGCTGCAGCGACATCGGTGTTGATTGCGACGAAGCTAGTTGGCGGCGAACGGAGGGGCGCTGAGGAGAATAATGAAGAAGTGAAGAGAAGGAAAGTGGAGGCTGAGTTTAGAATTGGATTTAGGACAAAGTCTGAGGTGGAGATATTGGATGATGGTTTCAAGTGGAGAAAGTATGGGAAGAAGGCTGTGAAAAATAGTCCAAATCCAAGGTTTGATTAACTCATAAAATTTGTTTACCTTAAATTTTATGGGTTTATATATATATATTCTATATTTTAGTTGTTATTCATGAATAATCTCTTATATATATATATATATATATATATATATAATTTATATTTAATGATGATTTTTAATTTAATAAATGAATGTTAAAATTTGAAGAATGGATAATGTAACAAATAAGTTAAGAATAAAAGGGAAAAAAAACAATATAAAATAATCAAAATGTTTATTTATTTTGTTATGCCCCACCACTTATGATTATCAATTTAATAATTCCCTCCATTATAAAAGTAATGTCCAACCTGAAACATGGAAGTAGATTCCTTCCCTTCACATGTCATGCCGACCACTTATGATTTTAAGCATTTTTAACATATTTGTATTTATAATCAGGGAGGTAAAAGAACCGAACACAAACAAAAAAGAACTTGTGTTCGTGTTCGGTTCGTTTGAAATTTAGTTTGTTTGAAATAAACTCGTGTTCGAAATTGCTCGTGAAGTCACTGTTCATATTTGTTTCTTAACGAACGAGCCGAACACGAGCTGTTCGCAAACGACGAGCTAATTTGACATCCCTAAAATTAATAGTATTTTAAATTATTTTATATTTCGAATGATAACGATCAACGAACGAACGAACGCATCACTATTGATGTTTGGTTTGTTTAACTAACCGAACGAAAAAATTTGTTTACGTTCGTCTCATTTTCTTATCGAACGAATCGAACACGAACTCATTGAAGAACCGAACACGACTGTTCGCAAACAATGAGCTTTTTTGGCAGCCCTATATATAATGATTTCTATATTGTTTTGTATTATTAATTAATAATTATTATTTAATAAACCGACCGCATAAAGCCAACTTCAACGCCAAAAAAGAATTAATAATAATAACGTCACATTTGATTGAATATATGTTCGATTAATATAATGCTTCTTTTTACATTAATTTGTTAACAAATATTAGAACCATGGGTGGCAGGAACTACTATCGCTGTGCAAGCTCAGGCTGCGGGGTGAAGAAGAGAGTAGAGAGGGATAGAAATGATCAGCGCTACGTAATCACAATATATGAAGGAACGCATAATCATGAAAGTCCAGACATAATTCGCCATCCATTTATTACATATGAAATAGCTTCTAATTCATCTTCTTGGGCTAATTCATGTGCCCAGATGATGCCTGCAATGGCTACAAATTTTACATGGAGTTCAAAATTTGCTCCCCACACTTGATCAATGGAATGGTTCTGAGAAAATTTTAGTTGAATTTGGCGTCGAAAATTTTGGATTTGCTTTGAGATTTGTGTAAATTATTTGTAATTACTATTACAAATATTTCATGCATGTTCTAAAATTATTGATAATAAATATTATTTTAATCAAATTTTAATTGGGATGAATCTAAGAGTTTATGAATCTGTTTTGAGAGATTAAATTCATTTTAAAATGAATTTAAAAATTATGAAACTAATTTTGATTAAGATCTTAAGTATGATTTATTTTCTATTCAGGAAATTACAAAACGGCACACTTTGATGTCTAGGGCTGTCAAAACGGTTCGTTGTTCACAAACAACTCGTGTTCGGCTCGTTCGTGTTCGGCTCGTTTTGGCTCGAAATACTACTCATCAATTATATCTATATATGTATCTATCTTTATATATATATTGATGAGTAGTATTTTTAAAAAAATTAATTGAATACAAGGCTATAAAGATTTATAATCAATTAAAAGTATTAATTAAGATAATAGAATAAAAATTATTAAATTAGAATCAAATGAAGTTTTAATATAAATAATAAATTTTAAATCTTGCCCCAACCCTTAACATTTTATGGCTACATGATTAGGGTTGTCAAAACGACTCTTTGTTCTTGTTGAATTTTAGAATAATGCGGAATAAAGTGGAATGTTTTAGACTACTTTTATTGATATGAACGGAGGTATAAATAACCCTTATAAGAATCCTATAATAGAAAAAATCATAAAAAAGAAATGATATGAAAGGAAAGATATATCACATGATACCTCTAATAATTAATCATATTAATTATTAGGAGATAATATAAAATAATATAAAATAGGAAAACAAATAATTCCTAATATATGAAATGAAAATATCTTTTTGATACACCATCAATAAAATTTCATCATCCAACACGAATCTCGAGGCATGACACGAATATTAAGATGATATTTTAAGCACGAAACATTCAAATCTTAATAAAAAGCCATCCAGAGCTCCGATTTCAGCAAACTTATAGTCAAACTGACCGGTTCGATGAGAAGGACCTAATGATATGAAAACTAGCCCAATCCAAGTAAAATCAAGCCCAAATCAAGTCATTAAACCACAGTTAGAAGATTTATGAATATATTTGGAAAATCAAATGACTGTCAAATATGACAAATTTATACTCAAATCGAGCAGCACGACAAGAAAAATCTAACGAGCCCAAGATCACTCAATTTTGGCATCATTAAGGCACTCGAATGTCCATTAAATGTCGTATAATCGAGGGAAGCTCTCCGAACCGTCCAATCAAAATGGTTCATATTCATGAATTAATTGCACCCATAACACTATAAGTAGAGCCCCATCCCTCTCATGAGGGGACAGGGAGTCTAGAGAGAGCTTGAGGTCTTGAGGAGTAGTTGCAGCTCAACACCAACGCCGACCGTCATCGACCACAGCCGACCTCCGTCGTCGACCACCGTCAATCGCCAACGATCACCGCTGACCTCAGGCGACCACCGCCTATCGTCTTCGATCACTACCGACCGTCGTCAACCACCGCTGATCGTCCTCGACCACTACCTACCTCCATCAATCACCACCAACCAGATGTCGTCAGTCAACATTGTAATCTGAGAAATGTAGTTACTATTTCTCGTCTGTGAGACAAGGGATTTCTGTAATCATCAATCAATAGTGGATTGCTGCAACTGGGCCAGGTCCCGTGGTTTTTCCTTAATGGGTTTTCCACGTAAAAACTTCTGGAGTCATCAGCGCTTTTTTTTTAATTTCATATGTGTGTGTGCTTAACTCTTTGTACAACGCTAAGACGATAATTTGTTACTCTACTGCCGCGAATTTTCTAGCACGCATCACTCCTTATATTAAAGAAAAAATTTATTCCTCATAATTTTCTCTATGAATAAATTATTTCCAATTATAAGTTTAACTAAGAAAGGCAATAAATCCAGTAATTTAAATTAGATATTTCAACACTCCCCCTTATGTTGAACATGATTGAAAACTATATTCAACTTGAATTTGAAAACATCGGCTGGGGTATGCTGACTGGACAGGTAGCATCAATTTGTCAACCAGAATTTCCAACAATCATCAAACTGTAAGTGTCGAAGCCGAAGGTCCCGAAGCCGAGAATGCCGAAACCTTAGAGTGTCGAAGCCTAAGAGCTCCGAAGCCGAGAATGTTGAAGCCTGAGAGTGGCCTGGACGAGGGCGAAGCTCAATTGATGAATTCGTAATTCACCGGTTGACTGATAATTGCATGAAAGCAACAAGAATGCTGCAACAATGCTGCAGGAGAGATGAAGGAAATCTGCAAGAAGACTGCAGAGAGATTACAGAAAAGCTGCAAGGAGGCTGCAGGGAGGTTGTAGAAAAGATGCAAGGAGGCTGCAGGGAGTGCTCAAAAAAGCAGTAGTGCTCGAAGAAGGCTGCAATAATGTTGCAGGAAAGAGCAGTGCTTTCCTTAAGAAGAACTGGTCAAAATTTGCAGGAAAAAATTTGTTGAGGTAGATTCAACGGCGAGAAAAGCTGCATGAGGGAGGTCCGACGGTGAGAAAGGCTGCAGGGAAGAGAACCGGCTGCAGGAGTAAGCTCGAAGGTCCAGTCGGCAACATATATGTTCGCAGGAAGTTCTGGCTGCAGGAAAGGTTGCAGGAGGGAGTTCCAGTGGCAGGAAAAGCCATCAAGGGATAGGTCCGACTATCAGCAGGGAATAATTTCCGATGGAGGAAGGTTTGTTGCTAAGAAGATTCAAGCAACAGAATTTGAATAAAGAAGCTAATGCAGGGAGAAGTCTGGTGCTCGAAAGAACAGGAGGAGCTTCAGAGGAGGTCCTGCAGATTAGCCAAAAAGAATGTGGGCAAAGAATCGATTGAGAGCCTGCAACAGAAAAAGATCCGAACAAGAGACAGTGATCAGGCAGAGGGCCTGAAGAACTTGGAGAGGATTTGTTGTTGCTTGCTACAACTTGTTGCTTATGGGATCACAAAGAGATCATGTTGTTGCTACTATAGGGATAGAATGAAGGCAGGAGAGGGCCTGCAACAGGGAGGTTCAAGATTCCAAGGAGAGCAGTTTCCTAGAAGGAAATCAAGAGAGCACCTGCAACCACATAATAAGTTTTTCTTGCAGGAAAGTGAAGATTTGGCAAGGAGATCTGGACTAAAGAAAGATCTAGAAAGAAGGAGATCCTACTGGGAATTTCAGGAGGAAGGAAACCCTGTATTAGGTATTGAAGAGGCCAATAGAAGGATATGGGTAAGAAATAGCAACAGCGGGATCTTGCTGAAATTGTAGGAAAGTCCGTTAGAAATTGCAGAAGAAGGATCCAGCTGGTAGTTTACGGATTTGGCTGGCAGAAAGGAAAAGTTTGCCACCAGAACTTCCATGTTTATCCACATTTTCTCCTTCAGTTTGGTTAATAGATTGCATGCAAAGAGGCATATGGATGCATGAATCCCCTACAACATGCATGATTAGCCGTCTTAAGGTGAAAAATAGAGCAGGTAGTGAAACTCCTCCATCCAGACCTTAACCTTCTTCTGCGCGCCATATCCACGGGGAAAACTCATGGTAAAGGTGAGTGGCATGGCGGAGGAAAACGCGTTGAGTTTAAAATTCTGGTACGAAGGAGTCAAAATGGAGTCAGTGTGGCGAAGTTGAAGGGTAGAGATAGGGAAATCAGAGGCCAATCTACGAGAGCGAGGTTGTGCTGGCCGCCGCTGGAAACTTCTCTTCGTCTTCTTATGAATCAAGAGGCTAAGAATCTCATGCAGAACCTCTAAAGGCAATTGGGAATAACATATTTTCTTGCTTGTTAATTTTCCCCACAATAACAATAAACAAGTGGAAGACATAAGAAACGAGCAAGAACTGCAACTTGAGATGCATTCAAAATGCTGAAGAAGTTGGGCAATAAAATGGTCTTCTGCAGCTCCGCTAGAAGCAATCAGCTTAAGCAGAGGCCTTAGCCTCTCATCTGCACGGTATCCATTGATAACTTGAAGATCTAGCGCTTGAAGCCACTGTAAAATCCAATTCTCCACCTCAAGGAAAGTTCAGAAATTTCGCAATAGGAGGAGGTCAGAATTTCAGAATTTTTGTAGCAGGAGTTAAAGACTCGCAAGAAGTAGGAGGAGGACTTGATGGAAGCAGTTGAAGGAGGAAAAAACAGTCTAAAATGTCGTCAGTAGTACTATGACAAAAAAATGAAATCTCTAGAAGAGGAGTGGCAGAAACAAATTTATTTATTGCAATCCAGCATTTCGGTTGTAAGAGAAACCATAATTGTTGATAATCGTGATGAACGGAGCTCCGACGCATTATCGATGGACCAATGATTGGACAACCGCTGTAACAAAAACAGATCCGAGAGCGCCGCTTGGTTCGCTTCGCAGGAAACAAACGGAGATGTCGGTGCGGAGATAAATGTGCTCGGTCGCTTGATGGAAGAATTCAGACAGAGAATCAAGGTTTTGGTGGATGATGAGAGGTTCTTAGCGGAGGTTAAGTGTGGGAAGGAAGAAGCAGATCTGGATCTAGAGAAGGAGCTGAATCTCCCCATCGTCACGAAGGATGGCAACGAGCATGCAGCCGAACTCATCGTCGTCGAGTTCGGACAATCAAATGATGAAGAAGCCCTTGCTCAACAATTTGACAGGATGAAAGAAGGAAAATCGTCTTATAAACAGACCACAGGAAGAAGGAAGATCTTCTTGCGACTCAAGATGCGTGAGTGAATCGAATGGAAGAGAACCCCTTTCAGCTCAGACAATCAAATGAGGAAGAAGCTCCTCGCAGCTTAGACAATTACGATCGAAGGAGGAAGAGGATTATCGCAGCTCTCGTCTGACTCGAAGGGCAACAAAAATATTGTGAAGGGTTTGAGCTCTCCAGACGGACGAAGCAGTCGTTGAACCATTAGAGTGGCGAGCCAGCAGCCAGTGAACGATTCGAACAACTCAAGATCGAGCAGC